TGTCGGGCTGCTACTGGGGCTGCGCTGGGACAATCTCCAGTGTTTGCGCCCCCCTTTACGGAGCCTCACGCCCCCCCTGGGAGGCGCGCCCCACTATTTGAGAAGCACTGCTTTAATCCAATGTATCTCGCCCTACACCAACATTCACTCAGTATTTTAAAGAGTTTTCATACTGCTTACAGTTTAACAGAGAAACTGAAAAATAACTGTTAGTCCACGTACATTAGTGATTCTGTAAAACTGCATAAGCACTTTAACAAAACAATTGTCAAAGTAAGATGAAGTGAAGTGAAAGGGGTAATCTATATAAAACCTAGTACTGCTGGAAATAATTTGGCTTTCTGAAAAATGTACTCAGAAACCAGGTTTACAAGCTTGAACAGTGGACTTCTACAAAGCATGTTTAACTTTCTGAAAGGACTTATTAGTTTTTAAAAGCTTATTTTTCCTTTTTTCCAAGCTATTTTTGTGAATTCTGTGCATTTAACAAAGAAGTTGCCATTGAACATGTTGCACTGTGTCCCCTAAAGGCCAGTGTCTCCATTAAGCTGACTATATGTCTGTACTCATGCAGTTTCATGTAATCATATAATTTCTCCTCAAGGATCTTTCTTTTTGATTGTTATGAACAATAAACCTGCTTCCAACAATAGATTCATAAATGGCCAGATGGGACCCTAGACTTCCTGTTTTAGGCAACTAAACAAACATTTGGCAGGAATACAGGTTTAGTTTCTTAAGATATTCATCTTGCTTTCAGAATCTGGATGATAATTGCAATGCATCAATTGCTAAAGTCACAGACCATGTTGACAGGCAAAAAGATGCTCAAGAGACAGTCCTCAAGAGGCTCCTTGACAAGATGCAGAATGATAAGAATGTGCTTATGAAACAGGAAGAGACACTCCTTGAGGAATCAAAACATGGCTTAACTCGAGTTAATGGATTCATGAGAGATGAACTTAAAGTAGATGTCCCAACAGGTATTTGCTGGGGAACAATGAACCATGCAAATAAGGGGCTGGGGGTGAGCCACTTTAAATAAAAATGGAATTTTTACTCCTAAAGGAAATATTGGTTTAGATACCACTTAAACTGCTTGAGTTTTTTCCCCCCAAAGGAACCACCCCCCAAAGGAAAGATTACTGTTATCCTATGACAGTTGTGAAAACAGAACCCCGTGACATCTTGCTTGAAAAATTAAGGCAAAAACAACTGGGGCTCAGAACTACACTCAAGACTGCAGTGACTGAAGAGGTCTTGAATCAGGTAGTTGTGGAAATTGAATGGAAGGAAAACATGCTTGTCTTAATTTCCTTTCCAGAGATGTGACACTGGGCAGTAGAGACATGAGTTGCAAAGCGTACAAATAGAAATGAGGTTGTCAAAAAAAAAAAAAAATCCAAACCAATAGCAGTAGCAAGTACATTTCTATACCGCTTATCAGTGCACTTAAGCACTCCCTAAGTGGTTTACAATACGTAAACTATTTGTCCCCAACAAGCTGGGTACACGTTTTAGTAACCTCGGAAGGATGCCAGGCTGAGTCAACCCTAGTGCCCCCGGCTGGTATCAAACTCACAATCTTGCGACTGAGTGAGTGGCTGCAGTACCGGCATTTAACCACTGCACCACCAGGATTCCTTTAACCAACCAGTAACCTTTAGAACAAAATAATTCTTGGAATTTGTGTGATGCTCCAGTAACATTCTGATAGGTATCCATTTAACTTGCAGATGAGGTTTATTTCTGTGCTGTGTTCCTTAGGAATCCTTGATGGATGAAGAGGAGATAAGGGAAACCAATGAGAGCCTGTTGAGTGAAAATTCCTACCTTGATACCAGTCTCTGTATTCAGACAAGTGGTGGCGTGCCCTTCTTCCAGGTGACTTCCATATTTTCTTTAGTAGAAACAGAAAATACAAAGCTACCAACCACCTATTCTGTCAAAAATAACTATAATGAGGAGATAACAGAAGTACAGATACAGTAAAAGATTGAGATTGTCATCCCATAATACACAAGAAGTGGGGAAAATAGGGCCCATGAGCCAGATGTGTCTCTTACAGGCCTCCCATCCCCCTTAATGGAGAGGAGTCACTATACTATAGCCTTTAGGTCAATTTCACTAGGTATTGGTACCTCCTGCCTGTGTTTGACTTGGAACAGTTAATATAATGGGACTTACTTTTGAGGAGGCATTCCTAGGGTCATACTGTAGAAAAAATAGAATTTTGGCATAATGCCTGAACTAAAATCCACAGATGGCATGAGTATCTGAAAGATTTTAGATAGGGTCGTGTGAAGTATGGAATATGGTACAAGAATGTTGAACGTGAGTTTTGTGGGGGTGAAAAAATGTTTCTACATCTTATGACTGCAAATAAAACTTTAAATTTCTACTAAAACTGCAGAAGTATTCATCAGGCAAAGGTGCTTAAAATCTTACGGGAGGGGGGGGATAATGATGATGCTACAGATAGAAAATACAAATTTTGCAAGCTAGTTGAAAAACAATTGCTATTGGAATCCTTGAGAATATCTAGTTCCTAGCATGATAAACAGCTTTTTGATCTAATCATGGCCTCTGAAAAAGTGGCATGGGACACCAGGCTGATTTTTGGCAATCCCCCTTTTCCTGTTGGGGGGGTTGCAGTCTGTTGTCCCACCCCCAATCTCTTCAGAGGATTGGAGTACCCTTTGGAATAGCATGGAACATAGCAAATGAACATTGCATGGGAATAGGAAGAGCAATAGGTGATAGAATGAACTGTACTATTTCAAAGACTGCTGGTGAGGAATTCTCTTTTTCATAGGCCCCCTACTCATCCTAGGTAGGAAATCAGCACTACCCTAGTGTGCTAGTTTTCTCTTTGATTTCGGTGCTTATATAGGGAAGTGTTCAAACATTGAAATCATTCTGTTAGTATTAAGGAGAGCAGTACATTCTAGTACCATAATCTGTTAAAAAATATGTATTTCTGTAGATAAGTGGACAGAATGACAATGCCATGATACTTTTAAATTTCAGGTGTTTTAGCTGCAAGTCTATATATGTATGGTTTGAAGGACAGTGAGATATTTATGTTTTCTACCTAGGCAGTGAACTGTGTAGATGTACCTTGCAGAATTAAGACATCTCAAGAAAATAGAACTGGTAGAGAATATTTTAAGCACTGTTTAAAATAAAATAATTGTCACTGATGCTTTTTTAATGTTGCAGCATAAAAGGAGTATCAAAAAGGATAAAGAGAACAAATTGGCAATCTTCCTGGATAAGACAAAGGAAGAAGATTCAGCAGATACATCATTTTCAAAGTCAAAATATCCACTAAGAGCCCAGAATTAAGATGTATATTTATGCTTCACTTACTCTCCAGTTCTGCATAGTGTACCACCTTGAGCTCCATCTATATTGCTGTATTATCGGTGTCATATTTTCCCTGTAAAAAGATCTAGTAAATACCTGCCTGCTTTTTATATGATATGATTTCTTATTTTTTTCCAGATTTTGAAATTTCATATTTCAGTTCTCTTAAATAAAGACCTTGAACCTATAGCACTGATAGGGTTTTTTCCCCACTGTGAGGAACTGGTGGGAACAGAGGATTTCTAAACATGTCCAACATACATGGCTATGTGTTAAGTGAAAGGTATAACACCTTGTTCCATGTCTTCCAATTCTCACACAAGATAATTGTGTTAAAGTACTGCATAAGCAAACGTGTGATCTGTGGTCTTCCAGATGTTGGGCTACAGTTTTAGTCATCCCTGTCTGTACTGGCTGGAGTTGATGGCAGCTGGAATCTTCACAGCATCTGGAAGCCCATATATTCCCAAACAGTTTTATGATCTTTTAAAATAAAACATATATTAAGGTATAAATTCTTTTTGGGCCTGACTCAGCTTCATTGGGTGAATGAAATGTCATAAGTACACAAAGTCATTGTGTTGGGTCCAGATTTAATCATCTGAGAGACCTGTTAGTCTAAGCAAGACTGACTGTGCATCCAACCAGTATTTGGTTTGGATGTAAATTCTCCTAACTTAACAGATCATGGTTAAGTTAAAGGCGATTAAACGAAACTTTCTCATTGCATCCAAAGTAGAATCCTATCTGATCTGTGATCTAAATTAGAATCTATTGGATCTAGTCAAATGTACATGTTTAAGGAAGGCTTGAAGGAAAGCAGGAGATATTTAACTAACCATTTTCCTTCATGGTCTCTGACTCCCAAATGGGTTATCCTGTGCCTGCACAGTGCCTCTTTCAGAGCATTGTAAATCATTCTGAAGATTTTCGGCAGTTGCCTCACCCACTTCTGGCAGCCCTATATAAGTGGGTCCTTTCTTAAAACTGCAGTGGGAAGGGACTCTCCAGACTGCAGCCCTGCCATCCTGCAACAAGCCACTTCATATAGCCTCTGTTGCTTTTGCTCCCATCCATATTTGACTATGGAACACCAGCTAGTTTGTTCAACCAAACTCCTGCATCTACTCAAAACTTCCTCAGTTGAAACATCAGCACCTTCTGCCCTGATGCCCCGAGAAGCATCTAAACCCGTTTCAAGGACACAGAAACCAAGAGATGTTGCCCTCACTTCCAGCAGAGGTAGTTGCAAAAGGAAAAGTGTCTATCTTCAGCTATGGGAGATTACAAAGGAGGGGGAGGAAAAGCTTATGATTATTGCCTCACATG